TTTATAGGCAACATTAGTTCAGCGTTCTAATTCTTCAGTCCTATCACATTGGCCTCTCTTCCCTTTCTGGGTATTAAAATTCTCATTAATAAGATGCATTCTCATACTATATACCCAACCCACGTCTACTAGACACAATAAAATAGGGGGGGTCAACACCATCTATTCTCAGATTGCTGGATCAGGATAAATATAAAAATCTCACGATGAACAAAGCATCAAAAACAATTTGCTTATAGCAGGTGTGCATGAACCCTAAATACAGATTGACCCTACACGTAGAGTGCAAATAGAGGGCAATGATTAATGTACTAGCACTGCCAACATTCTGAGTTACTCCCGAAAGCAATCATGAAGCACCATACAGTTTCCTAATACAGTTATAAAGACTAACTCATTGTCTGACCACTAGACAAAAAATTACGGAAATAGCCACCTGGTTCCGTCCAAATTGCTTATCATGACACAAAAAAGATTGCACAAAATGACACGCTGCTTACAGAATAATGTACATTGAATCCTCCAATGGTTTGTACTACTTCTAAAAATGCCAGAGAAAACAAGAAACCTAATAAAAGTAAGCAGTAACAAAATATATAATAAAGCTGTCCAGCCTCACAATCTGTGCCTACATGACACCAATCTTAAGAGAGGTAAGTACTTAGACTACTATTACAAAGGCCTGTACATATCTAAAATGTCTTTCTCAATGTCAAGCAATCAATTTCATAACATTTATTAAAATCTGCCCTGTGCACCAAGAACCACACACAACAACAATCTCCAATCTGCCCTTGACAGCCACATGGCAACTTACCCTTCATATTTCTGTTTTTCTTCATGTGAATCCCCATGCTGCCGGGTCACTTGGAATGAACCGCCGCAAATGAAACTCTGTGATTTACATCTAAAACAAAATAATTTTTATATATAACTTTTGTCAAAACTAAATAGACATGTCTCAGAAACACGAGCAATGGTTGTTATACAAAGATGTTCCATTATATACTATAGTATTAAAATCACCTATTTACACTCTTTTGATTTTGCTTTGTTCCAATTAATGCTCACAAACAGTTCACGACCCAGGATTACCAATTTTCCTCATAATTTATAAAATTATTATAATTACCTATACATGTCCCTACATAACAATGCATCTTAATTAATGCCCACTTCCATAAAAATATGCAATATAAAGAGCCAGGATTTTACATATCATACATTGTACTAAAACTACATATCAGTTAAAGCATAATCATAAATCACCACTGTTCAATCACCAGAGAAATAATTTATAAACGATAACTCATATATACCTATCTGTCTACAAGCGTTTTCAAATGAGTACAGAAAAGTGGGAGGGAGGCAGCCTGTTATTCAGAGATTTCAATCAAACAAGAGACCCCTTTAGGAATGTTCAGATAGAACACTTTAGATTTTATCCTTAATTTTCAAGTTTTTAACTGTTCTTACTTATTTTTGTTGAAACAAATGTTTCATATGTATATCGGAAAAATTTAAGAGTGAAACAAGAAACTTAAAAAAATTAAAGAAAAGGCTCATGCCTGTAATCCTAGCACTCTGGACAGGCGGAGGTGGGCGGATTGCTCAAGGTCAGGAGTTCAAAACCAGCCTAAGAAAGAGCGGAGCGTCTCTACCATAAATAGAAAGAATAATTGGCCAACTAAAAATATATAGAGAAAAAATTTAGCCAGGCATGGTGGCGCATGCCTGTAGTCCCAGCTACTTGGGAGGCTGGAGGCAGAAGATTGCTTGAGCCCAGGAGTTTGAGGTTCTGTGAGCTAGGCTGAGCCATGGCACTCTAGCCTGGAACAACAGAGTGAGACCTCTGCTCTCAAAAAAAAAAAAAAAAAAAAAAAAAAAAGGAAAAAAAAAGGTAGTCAGGAGTGGTGGGCTTAGGGATGGAATCAGAGAAGGAACATCACAGTTCCATCACAGCTCCAAGAAAAGCACCGACATTAAGCGATCCCTTGCCAGCAAATATCATCTTTCTTAGAAGCTTCTTTTTCACTCCAGCTGTTACAAGGGAAGAGGAAACTAAAGCTCTTCTTAGCTTAATTCTAAATCACAAAGATATTTTGCTTCTTCCAAAAGAACTTCTGACCATATTTCCCAGAGGCACACTCTATAAACAACCGTATAGTTGTTTCACCTCAGTTTCCATGCTTCCCACTGTCTCGACCACCACTGTTTGTTTTAGTTCTGATGGCTGATGAAAAGTAAGGATAAAGAAGAGCAAAAAAAAAACAAATTTGTAACTATGATTTGTTCATTATCTAACTCAATCTTTCCAACATGGCAAAGAAAAATGGAAATCTTTCTTGTTTATTAGAAACTTCCAGGTTTTGTCCTCAGATCTCCCATCAACTTAAGTGCCCTAGACTCTTTTCCATATCCTGCTTCTGCTCTTGGAAAAAGAATCACAGAGCTAGATAAGTATGAAGAATGTTAGAGTTAATATGTCTAGAAAATGCTGACAACCTTTTAAGAAGAAAAAGGAGGAAACAAATTTGAAGAAATAAAATCCTTTTAGGTAACTTCTGCCAAATGATTTAACATTTTTTAAATTTATTAAATGTTTAAAAAAAGGCTACTTCTAACTATTCATCACTTTCAGTATAGACCTTATTCATCATTTATAATAGTAGCAGCAAAAGTAGGTAGAAACTGTTTTTTGCTTAAATGTATAAATTTATCAAATATTAAAGAGGCAAAATGGACAGGTATGTTCCACAGAGACATATATTAAAAACAACTTACCCCAGTCTTCATCGCTTATCCTAGCAAAGGAACGGTCCCTCAGAATTCTAAAAAATTGATATTGTATAGGGTAAGAAAGTGAAAGGGGGGCAGTATACACTTAAAAAAATAACTACATGTACGTTAGTTGCATAGAGCACCCTTGACACCCTTGACATAAGTAAGTAACAGCATCTTAAATTTTAAAAGACATCACACCAGCAGGGACCAAATGTTTGTCTAAAAATAAAGACACACTCAACCAAACAAGGGTGTAACCTTTTACCATCAGCCCTCAACTGAAGACTCAGGGACTCAAAAAAAAAAACAACAAAACAGGATTTCACCAGTTTGACATGGCTGTCTCAAGACCATCTTGCTGTCACTCATGATCAGCACCCAGCATCTGCCACCAAAGGCTCTACTCAAATCAAAGACTTTTCCCTAGCCATATCAAGGACTCTGCCTTTCAAGACATTGACAACCGTCCAGATCAGCCCAGGACATTCTCCTTGTCCGGGTCTCTCTCCTTGGACTGGTTTGTTAACCTGTTTTCCTATGGCCCTTTCTCTTAATGTTAAATGTTACTCTATTTAATCTACAGATTAAAAATTTTAATCTATAACAATTATATATTTATTAAGTATACTACTATGCACGGTTTACAATATTGACTGACTTGTGGATAGGCTTGAGCCTATGTGCCTGTGACTCTCATTACCGAGTAAATGGGTAGTACTAGAAAAAATTGCCTCCTTGGGAACTCCATATAGCTCATGGCTTTCTTGATTAAATATGCATGAATAAAAGTGTGACCTTGTAAAAAGACACAAACATACATGGACCCAGTTATATCTGACCTTGCACTACTCATGACATTACTAAAAATGAAAAAAGAAATACTCACCCAGCATTGTTGACCACAACATCTAAAATACAAAAAGATCCAGTCATAAATATTAAAGCAAGCATATTAATTTGCATTTGCTTACAACTCACATTTCTTTCAAAAATAACTTTTTTCCCCACGTAAAAGTAAATATAATAAAGAGTGCTATCAAAACAGAAGTTTATACTTGTAGCAAAAAGAATTTGATTCACAAAAGACAGATAGCATAATATATCAGTGCCTTCCTCTTAAACTTAGAGATCTAAATTATCCCACCTCTACTTTCTATCGAAGTTCTATCAGCCTACTTATAGAATTAGCTGTTGCGTAACTCTTAGGTTCTGAGGATTCAGAACTATAAGCCATCCTTCATTTAACCCCAAATTCACTTAGGAAATTAAAAGTTTAAAAGATTGTTCCATACCACTCAAAAGTAAAAAGCCCAAAAAGAAAACAATTAGAAAAACTCATGCTGTACTTAATTATATTCTCAATATACAGAGAAAATAATTATTTTGTAAGGTTCAACCACCATCTTGTGGTTATTTGCACCCTATGGCTTGAAAACTTTATGGTCTCTATTCCTCTGGCAAATGATATGGTCAAACATGGTTCTTATGGGTCCAACCCAAAGCATAATGAAGAAAAATAAATGTGCTAGACCAAATACCAAAAAGGGAAGCACATTCAATTTACACTATAAAGTAATGTTTCCAGGCTGTAAATGTCTGAGCGCACAGTCTTGCTGTGATTGCCTCCCCTCTAATATTCAACAATCTGTTTAATTAAGAATGCTATGGGGCTACCTGGGGAACTATTATCTAGAGAAAACTACTGGACCAAAACAACGATCATTTGAAATGTCTCTCTTACAAATAAAGATTTATTTGCGCAAAGAAATTAGATCATTTTTCATCTAAATCATTAGTAATTATCCAAAAGAATCCACTGGCATCCTTTTTGTAAAAACGACTCATCCTTTATTTTATCTTATAAACATTTTGAGGATTTACCCCTGTGGATTATCGACTTTTTTAAAAGGCACTCCGAGCAAATCTTGCAATTTTTTTAAGCAATTATAGGCGGCTGCAAAAAGCAATAAATAAACCTCAGGACAAACATTCCATGAAAGTGTGTCCCACCTCAACGCCCCATTTATGCAGGAAGCGTAGCGAGAAAGAATAATCAACTACACTTAATAATACAAGCCAAACATTCAATTACTAAGAGAAAAGATTTGCTTAATTAAAGGCAAACGTAATACTTTAAAAGGAAATTAATAGTATAAGACAAAAGGTACCAAGCTCGCCCTCTAGAGAGGAACCATTAACACAACAAGAAACATCACCTATTCTCCAAAGCATCCAAAGCTTGTCTTCCACACACCCTCTCCTCCTGCTTCCACTGAATCTGAGGGAAAAGAAAAATTGTAGTAAAAAACATGCGTCAAGCAATCCTTCCTCACATAGGACTTCTAAATTTCTGTGGATCAGAGCAACACGCAACAGATACTAGATTAATTACTGATTCACACAACAGAACTCATTTCCAAGAAAGAAACATTTTATTCAGCGAGCGAGCGAGTACAAACTCAAATATAGATGGTCGAATTACAAGCGAAATTAAGCCCGTCAGACAATTTGTTCAGACGCTACAAAAAAAGGGGAGCAGAACGGAGTTGACTAAAAAACATTTGGTCCATACTATCTAAAACAGCACGCGCCCAATAACACTTTTCTCTGTGGACAGAACTGTCCTATTTCTGTACTTCGTTCAACTATCCGAGCCCGCACTAACCACATGTGATCTAACCGGGCTAGTATCGACAGACAAACTGAATATTTCAATTTATTAATTATATTAATTTTATTGTTTGTTTTTCCTGAAGACAGAGTCTACACTTTTGTTGCCCAGGCTAGAGTGACGTGCCGTGGCATCAGCCTAGCTCACAGCAACCTCAAACTCCTGGGCTTAAGCAACCTGCCTCCAGCCTCCCCAAGTAGCTGGGACTACAGGCATGCGCCACCATGCCCGGCTTATTTTATTTATATTTATATGTATAGTATGATAATATACGATGAATACATTAGCATAGTATAGTTAGTTGTTGGCCAGTTAATTTCCTTCTATTTATAGTAGAGACGGGGTCTCACTCTTGCTCAGGCTGGTTTCAAACTCCTGACCTCAAGCAATCTGCCCGCCTCAGCCTCCCAGAGTGCTAGGATTACAGGCATGATGTATTTAATTTTAAATAGTTACATAAGCACTTCCTCTTAAGGATACAAATGAGAATTTACGAGAGGGGGAAGTGCACACTTAATTTGGAAAAGCATGTTCAGTGTTATGTAACTCCATGTGGAAAACAAATCTGCTGTTTCTATAATACTAACTACAATAAGAAAAGTTCAACAAAATCTTATAGTTTTGTTATTTTCCAATAATCAGCTCAAGCGAAGGGCTCACATCCTCACAGTTGTGTGTCAAATGGTCTGCAGTCAACTCAACATCTCTACCGCCTCTTCTCTATTCTCTTCGATCACAGGGGAGGAGTCAGGAAATACAGTCAGTCCCTTCCCTGGGACAAATATAGTCCTGACTTAGATCTGCCAATAAGAGATACTCATCTAGAGGGTAGAAAAGTAGGAGAAGGCCACAGATACAGGGAATCTCATGAACAGACAACACATGTAAGATTAACAACACATCTAGGTGAGCTTTTGAGAACGAACCACTGCAGGCTGAGATGGTTACCAAGAGTTTCCTTGACTTTCACTTGTCCAGTCCATCCAATGGTTGTGTGAGCCTCTGATTCCCTACATTAAAATCCTCACACTTGGAAAACCTAGTGGAGCTTCTATTTTCCTTACTAAAACCTGATCGATACACGTTGCATATCAGAACTAAAGGAAGGAGGAGTCTTGAATTTTTACCTTTAAAAAATAGGTTTTTAAAACTCCACAGTATAAAAAAGTTGAAACCATTTCTGTTAGATCTCCAATGTGAAAAAACATACTAAGATGTCTAATTATTCCCTCAAACATTCAAACCATACCCTATTTCTTTTCCCTTAAAATTTCAAAATGAAGTCAATCTAATGTTATCCCTGGCCCATAAAAACAATCTAATCTGCAGAAGTAAGCACTAGCTTTTTAAAGTAAATCTACTCAACAAGGATTCTTACAAATACTATTAGGATCAATACATCAAATGCAAAGGTTGTATTTACTACTTTTTCTCATGGCTTTATTTAATGCCTAACTTTGATTCTTAAGTTTTTACAAAGATAAGAAAGTTACACACAGTAGTGACCATTTGTGCGAAATGGAATATGGAGGCTGGGTACAGAAATGGGGCACTTTATTTCTTATACTATATTAAAAACAATTTTAGCCAGGCTTAAACCTGTAATCCTAGCAGTTTGGGAGACTGAGCTAGGAGGATCACTTGAGCCAGCAGTTTGAGACCAACCTTGGCAACATAATGAGATCCCATCTCTACAAAAAATTAAAAAATTAACTAGGCATAACATGCGCCTATAGTCCCAGCACCTGTAGTCCCAGCTACTCAGGAAGCTGAGGCATGAAGATTGTTTGAGCCCAGGAGCTTGAGGTTGGAATGAGCTATGATGATGCCACTACCCTCCTGCCTGGGTGATGGAGCAAAAAAAAAAAAAAAAAAATTAAAAGAATAATTTAATATTCTGTAGAAATATATTACCTTTTAACTAAAACAGTTCTTATAAGAACATATCCATACCTATAATAATTTACTAATTATATCATGTGCTCATTAATAAAAATATTAAACAACAGAACAAAAGTTAGGAATCATATGAAATAATCTACATCAAAAGTTTAGGCTGGGGGAAGTGGTTCACACCTGTAATCCTAGCACTTTGGGAGGCCAAGCGGGAGAATGCTTGAGCCAGGAGTTCAAGACCAGCTTGAGCAAAAGAGAGATTCCATCTCCACAAAAAATAGAAAAATCAACCAGGCATGATGGCACAAGCCTATAGTCCCAACTACCCAGGAGGCTGAGGCAAGAGGACAGCCTGAGCCCAGAAGTATGAGGTTGCAGTGAACTATGATGACGCCACTGCACTCTAGCCCAGGTGACAGATTGAGACCCTGTCTCAAAAAAATCAAAATTTTAAAAAATTTTCACATATTATATAAAATATGTCTTAAAGAGCTTTGGCTGGCTTACATAAAATCTAATGTCATGATTACACTGGAATGCTGCAATATTTGCTCAAATACTATTAATGTAACCAACAGTATTGTTAGTTGAAGGAAAATAAAAGAAATAATATAGTTCTCCCAAATACCATACCATAGTTGGCTACTGCTTTTCCACCTTTCTTTCTTATTTCTTCAACAACCTTATCAGCAGCAAAGGAGCCTTTACCAACTCCCTTGATGTTCCCTCCTAAATCATTCACTGCAATGCAAAAATAAGCAAACAATAATTAATATCTAGACCTTCAAAGTAAAAGTTAAAAATGAAACTATAATTACTAATGAAAATGTTAAATACACACTGTAAAATATCTTCTGCATCTCAAGAAAGTCTTTTTACCTGATGGTGATAAAGAACAAGCACAATCTTAAAATATTAGACAGAGAAGCACATTTGTAAATTTTCAGAAAACATACTGTGTCATGGTCTAGAATAGAATGACATAAAAACCACTTATTAAAAGAGGTCAAAAATTATATATAAAACTAATATGTGGCTAGCCACTATTTTATACTATGACTCCATCTTTATATGTTTAACAACTGACCATACTTACCACATAACATTTCCCTATATTCAATTATACAGTTACAAACAATTGAGCATTTACTGTTTGCAAGAAAATCTACAAAAGGACACATAAATGTATAAGAATGGTGCTTGTCCTCAAAAAAGCTTCTAATTTATTGAAAGTTATGTATGTTATGATCATAGACAGATTTTAGCATAAAGCATATATCAAGGCAAATATAACCAAATAATATGGACAAAGAGCAGAGTTAATTTATATAATAATTTAATGCAAATTTTTCAAAATAACATGTAAAAATTAATGAAAAGATATATACACCAATGCCATTTAACTTGGAAAAAACAGAATTTAAGAAAAAAACTTGGGACAAAGAATTTGCGTCATGAAATGATCTTTTGCACAGGATTACTGCATAGATTTTAAGGATTATAACAAAGATATTATTAATTAATAAATTACATGGTGGTATATACTAAAATTTAATGTTGAGGATTTACACAATTTTTAAAAAAGGTTTTTTTTTCTTCTAAAGAATAGCTCTTTTTTGAATTGGGGTGAGGGTTGAAAGCAGGATCAGGTAGTTAAATAGGTAATGGGATGATACAGAGAAAAAAACAATGCCTACCCTCACTTAAAATCAGCTAGGTCAAATATGTTTTCACTTAACTTTTTGTTTTAATGGGAAATTAGTTTTTCAAACTGTGGACTGGAATATAATGTTTTCTAACAGTATAATATTATCATTCTTACTGCAAATAAAAATTGCTTAGAAGACACATAATAATGGAAAGAGGCTTACATTATCCCTCACAAGATAAAAAAAAGTGATGATTCTCAAAAGACTGAATCCCTATTAATTGTTTATTTCCATGCAATTATTCAAATTACAAGAAAAAAAGTTAAAAATATCAAAATGTTAAGACCCTTTTAAAATAAGTACAAGAAAGTTCAAAAACAAATTGGAAAATGTGATATTTAAGTGAAGAAAGTCTTAGTCAATGAAACACTACCTCCAAGTGGAAATTACACAAAGTGCAACCAAACAGGTAAGCATAGAAAGCTCGATAAAGGATTTGTTGAGGTCAATTATGTACAGTTAAACAGTATCAGAAAAGATTTACCTACAAGTCTCTACAGTACAGAGCACTAAATTAACACTGACCCCTTTCAGTCATCTCATTATCACCACAGCTAAATTACTGGGATTAAAACCCTAACCAGAAAAGCACTGGTTAGCACACTGACTGCCACACTAGCAAAAAAAATGTTTTTCCTTGAGGCCACGGTGTTTTATTATGAAAATAGAATAAAAACTTCCAAAATAAAATGACCCTTTCTAATTTAACGAAAATTTATTATTTTTTATTGTTTTCTGTGCATGAGTTATATGTAACTTGAAAAACAGTTCTCACAGCTCCCAAGATGACTTACATACGCCTCACAAGTCCCTATGCTCAAAACTTGCGCGAGTTAAACACAACTCACATGGCAGTTACTGTGTTAGATATCATCAAAATGGCTGACTAGAAATGTCCAACCCTCACCTCCTCGACAAAGAAGGACCAAAACAACAAATAACTGCACTTTGAGTAGAGTATCTAAGGGAGAACACAGCAATTCAGCAAGGAAATGACAAAAACCCTCTGAGGCACAGAAACACTAGAGGACAGCTTAGAGAGGAAAGCAAAGCTCCAACCCAAGAAGAAGGAGAGCTCCTCATTGTGAGGGAAGGGTAAACGGGACATCCCTAACAGCCATCATTGCCATCACCAATGCCTACAATCCTAGCGACAGAAGAGCCCCATAGTGCTCACCAGCCCTGAGCGTAGCATGGGTAGCTGCCTAGCGTTCACACAGCTGAACTGCTCCAGAGAAGGAACCCACTGAGTCCTTTCCACTCCCTGGGGCCCAAGCAGCAACAGCGGCATGCCATTTGAGAATGCAACCACTGCTGGAACACCTCCTGCCCTGGCGGCCAATAGCCCCCTGCATCTCCACATCCCTGGGACCCCACCTCACCCCATCATGCCCACACAGAAGGATGAAGCACATGTAACTCACATGTCTCTTCACCTTGGGAGCCATGAGAACCTCTTTTCAAGCTGCATATAACTCATGCACAGAAAGCAATAAAAAATAACAAATTTTTCAATAAATTAGAAAGGATCATTTTGTTTTTGACTTATATAGAAAACAAGCTACTTTATTTCTTAAAGCAGGCATCCTCAAACTACGGCCCCCGGGCCACATGCAGGTGTTTTTGCCCATTTGTTTTCTTACTTCAAAATAAGATATGTGCAGTGTGCATAGGAATTTGTTCAGTTTTTTTAAAACTATAGTCTGGCCCTCCAACGGTCTGAGGGACAGTGAACTGGCCCCCTGTTAAAAAAGTTTGAGGACTCCTGTCTTAAAGTCTTACATTACCAGCCTCTGAGCTAGTCATAGGATAATCTGATTGATCACTTTTCCAAAAAAAGATACTCTGATATCATCATAAGATACTAAGTTTGCTTATTTCCTTCTTCCTATTTTTGGCTTACTAAGGTAAAAATTTATGCTGAGCAGAAAAACTTAACAGAGGAGAAATGTTAGTGCATGTGATGTAACCTGGAAACAGGGTATCTATGTGTGCAAGTGAAAAAGCCAAAGTAGAAGCTAGTGGTCTAGGGAAGAACACAACCCACTGGCGGGCGGCCTAGAAAGTTCACAAGTAGGACACAGACTAAAAAGGGGTCGAAAATATCAGTCAAAGGTCTGTATGTGACAAAGATTAAATTCTCCCCTTTAACACTAAACTAAATGGTAGATAATATCAGTCAAAAGCCTGTACTTGACATAGATTAAATTCTCCCCTTTAACATTAAACTAAATCTGGTCCTTCAGCCAAGTTTAAGCAAATATTTTTCTTCTGTCATTCTTGGACTTTCATCAGGATTTGATGCAATATCATCTCTATTATGATAATGCAAAGAGAGAATACATAAACACATCGTCCCTCTTTATTTTATCTTTTTCTTAGACTTCAAACACTCAAGTGAATTTAACAAATTCAGAGGTAATAGGGAAATAAGGGGAAACTGTTCCACCCAAACACACAGCTATAAATATTTTTACAAAACAAATTTATAAACTAAGGTTATGTCTTAGTCAAAACAAAAAACAGAAATTTATTCAACCAATCTCAGACACATCAGCCCCAACAAAAAAGACAGTATCAATAATAAAAGAACCAATGAATAAAGTACCTTCTTTGCACAAGGCAATATTCTAGGTCCTTTAGGAGATACAAAACATGAAACAAGATCCTTGCACTTATGGAACAGAGTAGAAAAATGTAAATAAATAAGTTATAAGGTAAAAATAATAAAAAATAGCAATATAAAAAGAGAAAACAAAAACAGTAACAACATGGGAAATCTGGCAAAGAGGCCCTGAAATACGCACACCTCCCCCAATCCAAATATTACAATGTCAAAATTTGTCCTTGTCATAAGCAGCAGAATGGATTTGCTGACAGTGGCTATGATCTTAAACAAGGAATATCCAAAGTGTTTGTGTTCCTTCCTTAAAGACAAGCCACACATCCACACTGAAGGAGAAGAATATACTAAATGCCCTGCTTAGCACTTCTTTGTTTTGAAAACCTGACTGCTGATTACTCATTTGTTACAGATGCCTCTATAAACAAATTGAGGAAAATTTGTCTCTCTGTATATCCCAGTAAGATGCAAGAAAACTGGAATCAGGAGGTCACTGTGGGCCAACAATTTATCCCAGGAAAGACGCTTATAAGTATTGGGTCATAACATCTGCCCCTCACACACCCCTGCACTAGCACTCCTCCAGTTATTCCCCAGAAAGACTTGGTTGTGGACAAATTTGTTCCTGTGTGCACACCAACTGCCAAGCACATCAGGTCATTCCAAACCATTTAGATTACTAAGACCTCCCACGTTTGGGATTCAATATAGCAGTACTTATAAGTGATTTCCTCCCTATAATTAAACAAAAATTCATAACACTGCCCCTTCAATTAATTTCTAAAATTGCTTTAAAAAGCTTCCAACTGAAAAATTTTGATGAAACAGGTAAGAAATCCATACTGTAGATTCCTTTACTCCACACTTCCAGTTCTCAAAATTCAGTTAATTCTTACTTTTATCAACATATTAAATACTTACAGGGACTCTCCTTTGATTTTGCACCAGTACATGAACATTTCATCTTTAAAAATTACAGCCCACAATTTACTAAAGTCAATAATTAAATTTCCTTTTATACAATAAATGCTTGTATCAATCAATTCGAAGTGTTAAATTGGAAATTCTGTGAAACTAGCTCACTTTAATAGTTAAAAAGTCAGCCTTGAGGGAGGAAAAATTTGGTAGCATAAGTAAAAATTAATGATGAAATCCAACCTTGACAAACTATTTGACAGAAAGACAAAGGTAACTTGTGAAGACTATATACTTCAGTTATCAGCTACTGATTAAAAAGTAAAATACACCAACTTACCAACAACTAATGCTCCTCTTTCTGCAAAAGCCAGGGCATAGGCTCGGCCCAATCCTAATCAAAAACAAAATAATCAGAAAATTGAGGAAATGTCAGAATTTTTTGGTCCACTCAACTCAATCCCATTTTAAAGTAATTGGAGAACAATTAACATTACAATGGTAGAGTCTTCATTGGTACTCTCAACCTGTCTACTCTCTTCTGCTTGCAGAGGTTGGAAAAGCTTAAAACTACATTTTTCTACCTATTGTACCTACCATTTTCTACATTCCACCTAGCTGCTAGGTTGCTAGCTGTGAACTCGGTTCCACCATTTGGTGCATTTGCATAAAATTTAGAAGGTGGGAGTGAGAGGCCACCTTGCTGTGAGTTCTGGCTGTTGCTGTTGGTTAGGGAGTTTATTTTCTGGAAACCTCCTAGGTATTAAGAAACAGTAGCTTCAGAGGCAACGTCTTTTTTTTATTTATTTTATTTTTTATAATATTATAATTTTTTTTTATTTTATATAATTTATTTAGCCAAGGTTCAGTTAGGATAGAGGCAACTTCTTGATCCAGCTCCCTAATCCTTGGATGGCAGATTCCATACTTCAGCTTCCTAGTGTCCACTGGCTACTAGGGCTGTGGCAGAGCTCCAGTGAGGCCTCAGAGGTACTGGCTCCTCTAACAAATCAGTTCCATATTGTTCTAGACGTCACTCCAAGAAGACCTGTCTTCCTGCCTAAAATATCTAGTGATTTCTGTATGCCACACTGAACCATACAATCATTAAACACAAAAATTACTTAATTCTAACTCAAAGCTACAAAGTGTAAATTTACATATCCAAAAAGAACTACACAAACACATGTTTTATAGGCATAGAATATCTCAGGTAGACTTTATTAATATGAGTCCAGCAATTAGTGGTTACTTCTGGAGAATAGAAATGTGTGGCCAGCAACCAGGGGTGGAAGGCTTATTTTGTATTGTTTAAATTTTTGTAACATGTGCATATATTTTATATTTTAAGTTAATTGATACATTTCACTGATAATTACATAAATTTAATTAACAATTTATACTTAGTATAAATTAACTGGAAGTATACAAATAACAAACTGAGATGGGGCCGTGCGTGGTGGCTCACGCCTGTAATCCTAGCACTCTGAGAGGCCGAGGCGGGCAGACTGCTCGAGGTCAGGAGCTCAAAACCAGCTTGAGCAAGAGTGAGACCCCGTCTCTACTATAAATAGAAAGAAATTAACTGGCCAACTAATATATATAGGAAAAAATTAGCTAGGCATGGTGGCACATGCCTGTAGTCCCAGCTACTCAGGAGGCTGAGGCAGGAGGATTGCTTGAGCCCAGAAGTTTGAGGTTGCTGTGAGCTAGACTGACGCCACGGCACTCACTCTAGCCTGGGCAACAAAGCGAGACTCTGTCTCAAAAAACAATAATAATAATAATAAAATAAAATTTTTTTTAAATTTTAAAAATTAAAAAAAAACTGAGATGGATAAATTATCAGGGTTTTACAAAAAGAACCCAAAATATAAAGTTTTCCAAAACTATAAAACATAACCAAATAATTTATTTTAGAATTTAATCCACTTTGAATAGATAAGAGAAAACTCAGCAGATTACAAACAGAAGGTACTAAGTTGATAACTGTCTAGTCACAACTCATTAACATTTCACAAAACCAATTTGGTGGGTTGCAATCAGCACTTATTAAATAAAACAGAATAGAAAATAAAAATTTGAGTGTGGTCAGGCATGGTGGCTCACACCTATAATCCTAGCACTCTGAGAGGCCAAGGTAGGAGGATCACTTGAGGTCAGGAATTTGCGACTCCTGAGCAAGAGCAAGACTCCTCTCTACGAAAAAACAAAAATCACCCAGTGTGGTGTTGCAAAGCACCTGTAGTCCCAGCTACTTGGGAGGCTGAGGCAGGAGGGTCGCTTGAGCCCAGGATTTTGATGTTGCACTGAGCTATCATGATACTACTGCACTCTAGCCGGGGCAACAGAGGAAGACTCTGCCTCCAAAAAAAAAACAAAAAACAAAACCAATTTCAGTGTATCATGAATATTGGTTTCAAATAAAGACGTGGTATGTGGGCACATGTGTAAGTGTATTGGGTCCTGGTGTAATGCATACAATGTGTAAGTATGCTAATGGTGTCAAAATAAAGCTTCTATCCTTAAGTGGCATTCAGATGCAGCCCCCAAGAAGGAAATGGTACCATTACCCTTAGCAATGGTAAAGGTTTCTGAAAAGGTAATCTCTCCTGCATAAATATCATTCGAGAACTGTCAAAAAAGGTTTAAAACACCAAGTGCATCACATTATTTCCATCAAAAGCAAGTGTAAACAAAATGTTTTCCTAAAAACATATAAAAGTTACAGGTATACCCATATATATGTCTACATGGGTATAGCCAAATAAACTCTGGGTATAAAATACTTGGCCACCAATGAATACTAACAGCATTGTCTGAAAGGCAGCACAAGAAACAATCCAATCAATAAAGAGACAGAAGGAAACACAAAGCAACCAACAAAAAGAATACCCACTCTGACTCACAATTAATAAATAATGCATGAAGGACGGCCCAGCCAGACAGAAAGAACAACAAAGAAACAAACGAACATACAGAGAAAAAACACCAACGAAGAAGAAAAAAGACAGAACCCACCCACGGGAAACAAACGAAAAAAAAAACCGCACAACAGAACAGCGGGCAGGACATGAGTTAATTTTTTTGTCCTTTAAAAATGGGGTTATTTCACATAACGATTCTTCATTTGCCACTCCTGCAATATAGGAGGATCTGGCACCTGCTGGCCCACTTCAGAAATGTCTCTGCTCTCCAGTTCCTCAGTGTCCCCATCCCACACCTATCCTATTCCTCTATCACTTGCCTGACCCCTGGACCCAAGCGAGTTTAGCACCTCTGCCAAGACTCCAGTGGACTTTGAGTACAGCGCGAGGCCGCCCAAACACACACACTCCAACGTGGAGAGCTCTCACCAGATGCCCTCTCGGGGGCTTAACACCACCCCACGAGGGAGCAGAAACACTGAATTACTGACTTTACAGAGGTGAGAGGCTTGACATCTCTACAACTCAGGGGGGGAATTCCAGCTCCCGGGACTGTCAGTCCTTTCAAAGGCTTCACAAAGGCTCGTGAACGGCAGGAAAAGTAGCGATCGATGCCCACAGCCCGGGGGCAGGAGGAACTTTCACCCAGTTCTGCGATCAGCAGCAGCCCCGCCTGGTCGCCCGCAGGGAGGACCGAGGCCCTGCCAGAACGCCGGGGGTTTCTGGCTCTTCCCTCCCGAGCAGATTCGCCGCCCCGAGGGGAAGAGCCTCTCCCCTGCCCACCACCGCCCGGTCCCCGCCGCCCCCCAAGCCTCCCCGCCACCGCCGCCCACAGCCCGGCGCCGGGACGCAGCTGCGGCTGCGCGAGGACGCCGGGCCGGAACACCGGGACCCGCAGCGCGAGCGCGCCCGCCCTCCAACCTTCAAGTGCTCACCTCCCCCCGCGCCGGTGACCAGTACCACCCGCCCGTCGAACCTCAGCGGCGAGGCCATGAGTCCGGCCAGCTGCGACACACGCACACACACCGAGCCGCTGGGCTCAAACTGCGGGACGGGAGGAGCGAGGGAGGGGCAGGGGCGGGAGGAGAGGGAGCGACCTGCCAATTTCTAGGGAGACCGGCGCCGTGTCTTCGCAGTGCGCCTGCGCGGGACTCCCGTGGAACCCTGGGAAACGCGATCCCCCGTGACTCGGCTCGCTGGGAGACCCTGCCAGGGGCCTGGCTTGAGTGGGGCACCGCTGCTGCTCGGAGCGGTGAGAGCTGCTGGGCCCTGAACTGCCCACGCTTGTCCGTTCGCCTTTCGTTTCGTCATTCACTCAACGGACGTTGTCTGGGTTTAGCCTCTTACCTAGAGAAATAGCTTGAGGCCCCTATCCTTGAGTGGCTTTCAGATACAGCCCCTGAAAAAGAAAGTCATTCTCAGCCGTGGTAAAGATGTCTCCGAATGTAATCCTGGGATTCCTGCATGCAGATCATCTGGAACTATCAAAATGCAGAGTTCTGGACGCCCACCCCGCTGACCTCCCGAACTAGGATCTCAGGGGACCAAAGAAAATTTTGACTAGTGTTCCTAGATGATGTTTGCATTTGTATGTTGAGGCCAGTCATAGAGTGTCATTCACTCACTCGGTATTTATTGAGCATCTATTGGGTTTTAGGCAAAAGTTTACAGATGAGCAATATAATGCTCCAGAGCTATTGAACGTCAGGTGGTACACTTTCCATGACAGTGCAGCACAGACTTGTGACAAATGTGTGTTAATATGCTAATAGTGTCCAAATAAAGGGACTCTATCCATGCTGGGGAGGAGGAAAAACTTTCTTTAGAAAGTGAAGCAAAGGACATGAAGAAGTAAGCCCTGCAAAGAAAGGAGGAGTATTTACAGGCAGCAGAAACACTGGCTAGATTTGGGGAGAAAGAAGGTGAAGCCACAGAAGTAAGCAGAGTCAATCAAATCATGTTAGATGTTTGAATTTTGTGCTGAAAGTGATTTTAGGTAGGATTACTCCAGAGGGTAATAGGAACACATTTACATTGTGGCATGATTGCTCTGCCCCATAATGGAGGATTGATTGAAGGTGGGCAAGGAGAGCACATAAAAGACTTGGGGGAAATTATGGGGGCCAGAAGTAAGGCAGAGGAAATGCTGAAGAAGGAAAGTTTTGAAATATACTGTATTTGGAAGTGGAGCTAATAGGTCTTTGTTATTAATTGAATGCGTGTGTGAAGGAGGAAGGACTGAAATAACCCCATATTTCTGGTTTGAGAATCTAAATTATGATGGGCCATTCAGCAAAATAAGAAATAGTGGGAGGAAAGCAGCTTTTGGAGGGAATATGGCTCCAATTTTAGACAAACTGCATTTGGGAAGGGAAGGGAAGCTATGGCTAGAGATGGCTAGCATACAGCTTGCTTCTAGAGCTCTGGAAGTTTGGTTTCCATGCTCAGGCTAGAGCTCTGGAAGTTTCGTTTCCATGCTCAGGCTCAGCAAGAAAAGCCTCTCTGTAACTCAACCCTAAACTCCAAAGAACACGTTCTTTCCTGACAGCTTGCCTCTAAACCAGCACCTTGCTCTCTTTGCTGTTTTCTATATCTGCCTCATAACTTTTGATCCCTGAATTCTGGTGCTCACTAGAATCCAGGGAGACAAGCTCTGAGGGTACTGGATCCAAACAATAAGAAAGCCGTTAGAGATAAGAATGCAATAAGAGGTGCAGTCCACCGAGGGTAGGCCCTGCTCTTTGTGCCAGTACCTCAGCCCGGGTGGTGCATCCTCCGACTATGGGGCACAATGCCTGGAGGTGAGACCCACTCCTCCCTCCCAAAGCCACCCTGCCCATACCCCAGCCACCCCCCAAAACCACCCAGCCTTTACTAAGGCGCCCTACCGGTGCAGCAATCACTGACTTAGACGGAAGACCGGAAGATGAACTTGAACTTCTGTACTTACCAACACGAGAAAGGCTCCCGAACATTTCGAATGCAGGCTTAAAGTGAACTGTAAAACAGCCTTGAGCCATTTGGAAATCCAAGCTTCAAGTGGCAAACTTGTATGGTAACTCATTACACTTGGTCTCATGCCCTTTCTCCCTACTGGAGAAGCTGGCACAGGGCAACAGAACAAAAGGAAACTTCCTCGAGCTAAATCCAACCAGGGGGCCCACTGTTCATTGGCCCCTTCGCCCAGCTCCACCATGGAGCAAGACTGTAGATCACCGTAACAGGATATGTTTCAGTCTTGTAATCTTTCTTGTTTAGTCCAATAACCCTGTTGTTGAGAGAGAGAAAGAAGCCTCTCTAAGCTATTGCTGGGGAGCCAATATTTTCCACTTCTCAGACTGAAAACTGGATACTGGCTAGTCCTGGACCAAAGGACTTATCCCAAAACAGGGATAAGTAAATGCAAGTGCCTGGTGTTAACAAAAAAGACCCAAACTCTGTAAAATAATTTAAAGAGATTTATTCTGAGTCCAGTGTGTGTGACTGTGGCTGGAGCACATTTTTAAGAGGTTCTGAAGAAATGTATCCACAGTAGCCAGATTACAGTTTGGTTTGGTTTTGCTTGAAAAGGCAAGCGGGGGAGGTGGGGAAGGGCAGGCAGCTTACAAGTTATAGGTTGGTTTAAAGATTCTTTGATTTGTGATTAGTTTAAGAAATGGAGCTTTGGCCAAAGTGTGGTAGCTCACACCTGTAATCCTAGCACTCTGGGAAGCTGAAGTGAGAGGATTGCTTGAGCTCAGGAGTTGAGACCAACCTGAGCGATAGTGAGACACCTGTCCAGTCTCTACTAAAAATAGAAAAATGAGCCAGGTGTTGTGGCACATGCCTGTAGTCTCAGCTACTCAGGAGGCTGAGGCAGGAGGAGTCCTTCAACCCAGGAGTTTGAGGTTGCTGTGAGCTAGGCTGATGCCACAGCACTCTAGCCGGGGCAACAGAGCAAGACTCTGTCTCAAAAAAAAAATCAAAAAAGGAAATCAAACTCCCCTCCTCCCACTCCCTGGTTCATAAATTTAAAAATTCTTTTTATTTTTGATATTTTAATTAAAAAAAGAAGAAAGTCTAAGGTCTTGGAATATTTTAAGTTAAGGATATCTGTTAATCAGAGACGAGCCACTGAACATTTAAGCAACTCAAACGATCTGTTTGTCTTGCATGGCCTCAGGCCTGTTAATGATTTAGTATCCTGTTACAAAGAATAACCCCAAAAAGTAGGAGGCATGATGAAGCATATCTAACTTCCCTTCTCCTCATGCCAGCAACTCAGCTTTAAGGTTTTTCTGGGGTCCTCTAGGCCAAGAAGGGGTCCATTTACTCAGCTGAGGGGCTTCATGTTTTATTTGAGTTTACACTAGTACAATAAGTGCCCAAATAAATATAACATGACTGAATGAGAGGCAATACAGATTCAGGAATTACAATCATCAAAATTAGAGTGAGGTGTCTAATTTCACACACTATCAGAGTGTTGCTATGTAAATATAGGTTGTAAAAATAGTGTTGCTATGTAAATATAGGTCATTTTCTCTAATGGTCTCATCTTGCTCTCAAGTTCTGGTTCTTATGAGAGCAGAGGCAGAAGAAGAAACCTAAACTTGCCAGTTAAAAGTTAACTCTGTCTGACTGGGGTCAATGTTGTCTTTCAGGATTTCTTTCTCCTCCCTCTTCTGCTAACCTAAAGGTCACCTTAACACAGAGGACAGGTTTGGCAGGAGTGGGTGTTCCTTAAGGCCATGGTGTCTTCTGTGTCTCCCTCCAGATAGTGATAAAGTCTGTGTTGGATGAAAATTGTGGCTCATTCTCTCAGTGTAGTTGAGGGGTCTCGGTGATCCTCAACCCACCTGCACCTGGCCCCAGTTCAAATCTGTCTAGCTCTGATCCCTACATACATGAGGATGTGGGCTTAGGTGTTCCTAGAATCTGCTGTGCTTTATCTCTTACTCTTAGCAACTTCGATGTGAATCTAAAATTATTCCAAATAAAATATCAAAATAAAAATGTTAAACAAAAATATATCCCTTCCATGCCAGCAAGGATTCAAGGGAAATAGGAGTAGGATCTTCAGATCACTCATCATGTAGATCAACAAGGCCATTGCCATTCTGCTACAGTCACCCTATGATGGCTCGAATTACCTGCTCTTTTCAAAGTCAAAATCAATCTGGTGTTTTTTATTCTTTTCACTGCCCATCTCATCAGGCAGAACCAGGAAGGGGGAAGGCAGTTGGGTCTCTGAAGAACTCAGGCAGACCACATTCCCTATTATCCATCCATCCTCTAATCTTTCTCCATCCTTTTCCCAGTAAAAATTCTACTATCTTTCCACCTGGTTAGAATTCCTCCTAAGTTTGTTCTCTTTGCTCCAAAATTATGGATGTCTCTCTTCTAAGGGAAACACTAAGCTTTATTAGTCCTAATGGTGCATTGAAAGCTAGAAAAGCATAAAGGGACATTATAGTAAAACTGCATTCTTTTTCTTTCTCTTTTCTTTTCTTTTCCCTCCCTCCCTCCCTCCCTCCCTCCCTCCTTCCCTCCTTCTCTCTCTCTTCTTTCTTTCTTTCTTTCTTTCTTTCTTTCTTTCTTTCTTTCTTTCTTTCTTTCTTTCTTTCTTTCTTTCTTTCTTTCTTTCTTTCTTTCTTTCTTTCTTTCTTTCTTTCTTCTGCCCAGTCTCTAAACCAGCTTCCTATTGCACCTGTTTCTTACCTTAGAGGCTGAAAATACCAGATATTCATCTTCCCAGCCTCCCTTGCAACTAGGCATAGCTCATGACCTGGGTTTTGCCAGTCAGATACTTCCTCCCAAGACATTGAATTGGGAACTAATGATTGATGGGGTGGATAGTAAACTATACTGAATCTATTCTGGTGATGGGTGGTGGGTGCAGCAATGGCATCAGTTCTAGCAGAAGTGGGCAAGATTCAGTGGCAGAAGTCTTAGAGGTGCAAATGACAGCATCTGGGATCCAGCTGCAAGGGTAATGGTATCCTCCTCAGACCAACTCTGTGGCGTGACTTCGGCATGGTTCTTGGCTGTAGAACCTTGGAACCTCACTTTCTGGCCCTCCTAGAGATTCTGTCAGCTACCCTGTGTCCTTCTAATAATCTTTCTTTACTTAAATCAGCCAGAATCAGTTTTTCTTGCT